TTGCTTTACATTTTCTATGGTTATGAAGATGTTCTTTGAAAATTGACTGTGGAACTTAATTCCACATGTGCCTGTGTTCTCAGTCACCACCAGGGGCTGGAGTGAAGGGTGTCCCATTGTAATCTCATTTTCTCGTAGGAGTCCCAGCTCAAACTCATTTCTGTTGTCACTTTTTCCTAAGAATCCCTTTATTTCAACACCTTTCCTCAACGGAGAGCCTGTTTCTGCTGCTCAGTTCCTCCTGTTCTGTCTGGAGGCTGTTGTCTATGTGTGTTTCTTGTAATGTGTGTGTTCCTAGATGGTTTTGTTAACCGTTTTAGTCAACCATGCCTATCTCATGCTGTCCTCACAAAAGCAAATCCTTTTGCATTGTGATGAGAATTTAAAATTTTACCCAGATGGGTCTTTGAATTTGGAAAAAGGCTTGTCGTCAGAGAGAGAAGGAGGTACATGGTAGGCTCTCAAAGTTGCTGTGTTATTACCAGTTTCCTCTAAAAGATGGGATGAGAGAGGCAAGAGAGACCCAATTAATTTTCCACTGAAGGAAAAGCACACGTTTGCTTTTTATTGGACACCAAAGAATTCAACAATAAAGAGCACTCTAGACAACCTGGTTTATGCAGTTTGACTACCAGGCTGCGTGTTTTCTTCACTGTAGTCCTTAGTTCTTGTATGCCTGACTTAGAGGCAAGTTCTACAGGTCTTCTCCACTCCTCCCCCTGCTCCAGTGAGTAACCTCTGTCAACATTTCAAGGGCAGATTTGCCGGGGGAGAGAGGGGAGGCTCAAAAGGCAATTTTTGATAGAGTATTTAGATTTGGTAGTCTCTAAACTCCTTAGTTCTGTCTGTTTCTTGCTCGATAGGGCCTGATCTTTTAAGTAAAACTTTCCTACATGAGTACTTACATCAGCTTTCATGCCTGCTGCTCAAAGATAAGACACTTTTAGAAAAGAGCTAAGGTGGCTTTGCCCCAGGAAAGAAAAAAGTGAATTTGTTTTAAAGACTGCTATTTGAAATTCCATGTGTTTATACATTATTCTGAAAGATCATTATAATTAAGCCTGGAAACAACATATCCCCTGCTGTTTGTATTTAGTAAGATTTTTTTTCCTAAAAATGAATAAACAAAAGCTTGTTGAATAGATACATAAAAAGAGGGTCTATAATACTTTTACCAAAGTGTCTTCCCCCCCCCTTAGATTGTCTTTGGATAAATCAAATTGTTTGAAAGTACACAGATGAATATCTAAGGCATATGTAGGTCAATATGTTACTTAGACTTTCAAAGCTATTTTCACATGTGAGCAAGTATTAGCATTTCACATCAAACGGGAACTACGTTTGAAGCTGACTCATGACTTGCATAATAAATTTAAAATCATGAAATTAAAGTGCTTAGTCTAGTCTGTCACAAAAAGTACCCATGTATTGTTGTTCTATTGTTTTTAAATAAATCAGCTGACATAATTCCTGTTGGAAGATGCTCTTGATGCCTTTTTGAAAAATAACATTTGGCATGTTCTGAATATTTTTGCCAGGTGAATGTAAAGCAGTGAAACATTGTGAAGCATATAAGCACAGTGAAGCATATAAACATTGCTCTAGTTACTAGTTACCACATACCAGTTAAACAGGTGCAAAGACCTTGTTGAAGCTTCTTAAAGCTTTCTCTCGTGCTAAAAATGTTTTATTTAACCCTGTAGCTGGTTAAAATAAAAGGATACTTAACAGTATTTTTCTTTATTCAACTACTTAGAAAGATCTTCCCCTTAAGATGGGGAACTAGGTACACTGAGGCAATATAGACACCCACATTGTGTTCAAGCATCAACAGTCCAGGGTGAGTAAAGGTGCCTTATCCCAACTTACATATGCCTGCCTTTTTGTTTTTCTTTCTAATATTGAGGCAACACTATTTATCGCTGAGAAGACTCTTACCATGGTGGCTGTGCCATGAGAGAAGGCAACCATCAGATGCATAGCAATAGGAAGCTGTTTCTGAAAACATATGGTTTTGGTTTTGATCACCTGGTATGCAAATCTGCCTTTGTGAATTTTTTTTAACTCTGCATGTTGATAAAGGTGTTTGCTGCTTTCCAAGAATGCCAAAATACATAGTTTTGATGCTAGAATTTGTGAAACCTTTATTAAGTAAAATACTCATTTGAAAATATCCTGTCTAGTTGCACAAAGCTTGAAAGTCAATCTTCTTGTGAAGCTTAGCGTTGCTCTCAACAGTTTGTCTTTGATGATAAAATTTATGTAGGAATTTTATTTTTTAATTTGATCATTCTAAGATAGGCAGAATTCTGAAGGGGTTAGTAAGAAACAGCTTATTAACATGGAGATATATAAGGAATGTCTTTATCATGCATGCCTCTGTCAGCATCAAGTGCTGGAATTGCAACTGGTAGTTGAGGCACAAGCTTTGACCTGAAGGAAGCTTTATATTTTACTCAAATTATTGGTAAGAACAAAAGCATTAACCTGATGTTCCTTAAAAACAATTTATATAACTGTTAAAAATGTAAAAATGTAAAGAAAGCTTATTATTATAACGCAGTATTTATGCAGCACTTCGTACACTACGTAAATTGGCTAGAAACATCTGTCTACGTCTACAAATACTATGGATTGCGTGACTGCATTAAGAGTCATGAATCTATAACTGGGAACTGGGATAACATGAAACAAGGCAGTTGCGCTTGCAGCTGAACTAGTCAAGGTATAAGACATAGCTAGTCTGAGAAAGATGTGGACTATTTACAGGTTGATTTGGTGACTTTACCTAATGTGTGATTACTAACAGCACTTTGTCTATTAAAAAAGTAGAAATAATATTGCTTCAAAATCTGAAAGTATAAAGTAAGTGTCATTTTCCCTCCTACTCATGGTTTCACAGAAGATTCACTTTTTGAAAGCGAGAAGTATGGTTAAAACATGTTTTTTAAAAATGCAGTCTTTTGACATACACTGCTGTAGTTAAAAATGTGGCGCACAAGACAGTTTGATTGTTGAAAAGGCAGTTCCACTTGACAGAAAGAATGGCCAGAAATTTTTTTCTTGGGATGGAATTTTCTGGGAAGAATTGAAATTAGAAAGTAGGTGTTGAGAAATGCTGGGGTTTTTTGTTACTGTGCAGTGTTTCATAATAGCTTTCATTATAAAGCAATGAGGAAAGTTAAGGGTAAATTCCTGTGTGGGAGAAAGGGCATATATGCTTTCTAATTCTCTTGATATACGCTGCTATGCAACATGCGGAGCCTTGCAGTACACAGTGGTTGTTCTAATGCTATTTAGCTTGTTGGGGATCTCAACAGAAGATTTTTTTTTAGCATACCTGTGTATGTGTCTGAGCATGCACATACAACTCAGCAGGAGTTTAAAAGAATACAGTTAAAAACAAGAACAGTATAGGTTATTCACTACTAAGATAATACTACAAGATAAGAATATTTAGTCATATGTTGGAAAACAGGAGAAGAATGACCATTTCCCTTGCGAAGGACATCGTAACTGTCTCCGGGGGTGCCCCCTTTTCGTGATCAGCCTAAGCTGGCAGATATTCATCTCTGCAAGCTTGGGGCTAGGAGATGTAATCCCTGCTTAAGGGCTAGTGCACACGTGCCCGAATGCACAAGAACTCTTGTAATGTGAACATACTGAGCCTGTGGTCTAACATAAAAGATGTGGCTTTTTTATATCTTAAATGGGAGGGTTGAAGCACATCGTTATAAAATAAATTCTCATCACTCACCTCAATGACTTCACAGGACAGGACAGCTGGGATGATAGGATTTTCTGACCTTTTTCTTGGGCACTGTTGTTCATTCTCACGCGAGTTGCTGCAGTTCTCTCTCTGAGTCTGTACATAGTCAGGAAAATCTCCACTGAGGATACTGGGCAAGCACGGTATGTTTTGCATTGTAGGATAGACTTCCCATTGCAGTGTGTTGTGGTGCCAGGTTGGTGTTAGCATCTGCACCATCTACACTTTTAGTGCTGGAGTGCAGTGAGTCAGAACCGGTTGAAAAAACAGCTGCTGGGGACAGACACAAGTATCCCCAAGGTAAGAGCTGCCTTAGAAGCAAATTTTTGGTTAAAAAAATTGGTTTGGAACTATGTATTCATTTTAAAAACAATGACATCTGCTTATACAAGCATTGTAAAATTCATGGTTGGTGTATGTATGAGGGCTGAAATCTTCCTCAGAAGAGAGATTAAATGAAAAGACTCGTGAAAGAGTTGCTTTTATTGTATTTGGAAGATTATGCATACCTTATACATAGTTTATACTTGTTTGTTTTTTCCAATCTTTAAGTAATAGTGAGTCTTGAAAGGAATGTACTGGGCATGGATTTAAGTTGATTGTGTTGATAAGGATTTGGATAGATCCTTTATTTCCACCTTTGAAACAACAAAAACAAAATTCTTTTTCCATTCCGTCCACTTGCTCTCAGGAGATGTAGTTGGCTGCTTAACTCCTCTAGAGTGAATATTGTTTATGCAAGCCTGTTTTGGACAGTACTTACTTTTTGTTTTTGTTTTGTCAGCAGCCATGCAGCAGGTCCTGGATAACCTTACTGATCTGCCGACATCGACAGGTGCTGAAGAAATAGACCTGATTTTTCTTAAAGGAATTATGGAAAACCCTATTGTAAGATCACTTGCTAAGGTATTTAAACTTGCTGCTCTGAGTATACTTTGGGAATATTTTAACTCTTAAATTTTTGTATGAACACTGAGCGTGGATTGAGGTATTAACAATGGCTTTTATGCATGGTATGTCTTATTAAAAGACTTGAAGGAGTTCTTGAAGGTGAAGATTTAGTATAATGTAATTTCTGTGCACGCTGATTCATTGTTATATGGAAGAATCTAGAGGAAGAAGAAAAATTCACAGACTGCAGAAATAATGTAAAATTATTTATGAAGAAAATGTCAAAATACTTGAAATAAGAAGCAGTTGGTGTTGATATAGTCTCATGACCACCGTTGCGTGCAAACCCGGATGCCTTCTGACTTTTAGCATTTTTGCCAAAGATGAAAAGTGAGAGCAATAACCTTCTTCCCCCCATGGCGTAAACAAGTTTTCTTTTTGTTTTGGCTCAAAATGACTTCCCGATCAGCCGAGTGAAATATTCTCTCCATGCCCTTTCCTGGATCTCAGAGTAATACTGGGACCTTTGATTGTCAGCTCTCTGAGACATGGGCTATCCTTAGTTTTGGTCTTGCATGATGAAAATCTTTTATTGATAAATGGTACATATTTATAAATAGGTAAGGAGATATTTACAAAAAAATCTTTGGACTCTGTAATTAAAATGTAGTAGGAAGTGCAGTCAATATTGCACAGCACATATTCTTTCTTAATATTACTTCATAAAAATAAGCTCCTTTCACAAGGAAAAAATAGTTAACTTTAATGTAGCTGTGTCTTTAATATGAATAGACATCTGAAAGCAATGCCCTCTGGGCAGGCATGAAATACTCTGTAAAGCTAAGGATTGTTGTGCGGGGATTTTTCTCAATATAAAAATCTGGAAAGGAAAACTTCTTGTAAGAATTCATATAAGAACTTACTTCTGTTTAGCTGTTCAAAAAAATTGGTTTTAAGTGGAAGACATTGCATAGTAATAAACTTCGAAATAATGGATATGTCTCATCTGCTAGTGAGATGACTGCCTGAATTTACTAGAGTAAGTAAAAGCATTTTCTTACTTAGAGTTGTTTCCAACTTCAGTATTTGCTGCATACATCATCTTTAATCTAATATTTATCATAAAGAAAATGTTTATTGCAATGCATTTTTTTTCTTATCATGTATTTGTGCTTTAATGGCCAATTACAATTATGTGGAATTTAATGACTAGCAGATGCAAAAAGTGCTTGTCATGGAAACAGACTCTTAACTATAAACTTGCTTTATCTAGAATGTTGAAAGGTTTTAATTGTGTTCATATGCCATGACCTCACTCATATTTTCTTTTGTAGTTATTTCAGAATTTTACCCAAAACCTCAGTCCTAACCAGCAGAGCTAAATAAGGACAAGATCAAAATGACAACATATTTCATGAAGTATATGTAGTTCATATGTATCCATTTGTCTCTAAAAATATGTAAAACTTGTTTTTCCATTAGTTTTAACAGAATGGGCAATTCTCAGGACCCTGAGATGGTCAGATTATTTAAGCGGATTCATTTCAGACCAGGCCAGAAACATAAAAGGTTTTTCATTTTCCTTTATTAGTCAGTTATTAAGACTAATCATTACGTAAAGTATCCCAAAAAGGCCAAAAAGAAACTTAGAGAAATGTGCCATGAGCCATACAAGCTTATTTTTTTGTTTCAGTCCTTAAAATTGAAGGCAAGCAATAAGTATAGTAGTTAGTTTATAATATTTTACAGTGCAAAGTTTGGCTAATCTTTTAAAATTGTGTTAAGTTCATTTCACACTTCTTCTGTCTAGAATAAAGGCATCAAGGTAGAAATTGCAGATCGTTTTTCAGATAGGGTTCTTTTACTGTACCTTTCAATTCTTCAGTGGGTGGTAGGGGAAAGGGGAAGTAACTGTAATCACTGTAAAATGCATTTTCCTGCATTTACTGATGTTTATGCAGAATCCTAACTAGCCTTTAGAATTGTGCTTTTTTAAAAACAGTTTTTGAATTTGGAACATGCATGAATTTTACCCAGCTTTGCTACTGTACTGTCTTATCAAAATTCTCTTCTCCTGAATTAACTGTTCTTTTGAACCTCAAAACTTTATCTTCTTTTCTGCAGTCACAGTGTTGTGTTTTAGTATTGTAGCATACCAGGTGAATGCCTAAACCAGACCAAGGTAACATCTTAGGAGTAGCTTATAAACATTGAGTCTAGTATTTAGGATGTCAGACTGTTGGAGGCAGAAGCCTTACTGTTTCAACATTTGGCTTTTTTTTTTTTTAAATTATTCATACCTCTCCATATCCTGCTACTCCCCAACATACTACAGGATTAGAGGTTGTTAACTGATAAACTTTCTGTTTCCCAGTATTATATGTGGCCTTGATTTTGGAGTGAAGGGCGATGACATTTGTATTTAGATTATACTCTGTGTTAGTGGTAGTATTTTAAAGAAAATGAGTGAGAAAGAAGGCAACCCATATTCTCTAATGCTACAAAGGTTTTGCAGTTGGAGTGTGTTTAGAAGTCAATAGATTTGTGTTTTTACTTGCTGTAAAAAAAGCAAACTATAAAAGAATATTGTTTACTGTACATATTATGTACAAAAGGGCATTCCCTTATTAAGGAGAATGTGTGTAGGGGCCAAGCTTCCTATGACTTTGTAGTCATGGTCATTTAGTTTGTGCGTGTTGGTGTTGGGGAATGCTTGAAATGTCTTTATCTATGTTAAATTACCCTTTCCAGTGTTTGATCATCAGTCCTGCAGAAATACCATTTTACAGATATGAAGTAGAATTTAATATTCAGATGATTTCAGGAAACAAAGTTTTCTGGGTTTAGCAAAATTTTATTTTAACATCTGTTTTAAAGCACTAATAAGGAAGTAGATGTGTTGTGCATTCAAATTATGTTTATGGGAAGTATATATAGAGGACTCCGAAACATATCTTATTTGTTGTGTTTTTACACACCAAAACGATTGTTCTTTTTTGAACTTCTTGTTGCTATGGTGTTGTAAATAACTCTTAATTGAGTGCATTGAGAATCTTCGTTATTTTTGGCCTCCTCTTATTCCCTAATTTTATGATACAGCACTGCCTGTAATAAGTGAAGCAGTCAGATTTATGAGATGTTCCTCTTGCAGCTCAAAGCTCCTACATTTCCATGAATTTAAGTATCTGCAGTGTTCAGGAAAGGGTTATGTCTTCAGCAATAGCTCTAGACAGAGATGAAAAGTTATCACAGTATCACAGAGTGGTTGAAGTTGGAAGGTACCTCTGGAGGGCACCTGGTTCAACGCCCTGCTCAAGTGGGGTCACCTGGAAATGGTTGCCCAGGACCATGTCCAGACAGCTTTTAAATATCTCCAAGAAAGGAGACTCAAACCTCTCTGGGCAAACTGTGTCAGTGTTCAGCCAGCCTCAGAATAAAAAATAGTGTTTCCTTGTGTTCAGACAGAGTCTCCTGTGTTTCAGTTCGTGCCCATTGCCTCTGGTCCTGTCACTGGGCTCCTCTGAAAAGAGCTTGACTTCGCCCTTGTTGCGCCTTCCCATTAGGTATTTATAGACATTGATGAGATCCCCCCTGAGCCTTCTCTTCTCCAGGCTGAACAGTCCCGGCTCTCTCTGCTTTTCCTCAAATGTGAGGTGCTCCAGTCCCTTCATCCTCTTTGTGGCCCTTTGCTGGACTCTCTCCAGTATATCTAGAACTGTACACAGTACTCCAGGGGTGGCCTCACCAGTGCTGAATAGAGCTCGACCTTCTGGCAACATTATTCTTAATGCAGCCCAGGATACTGTTAGCTGTCTATGCTGCAGATTTTCTTGAGAATTTCCTTAGTTATGCAGACTTCCCTTTACAATATTATTCTGAAGGTGTTGGAATGAGAGGAGCCTGAGGTAAATGCTTCTCTTGCAGACTATTTTTTTTCTGAGCAGATCCCATAGTTCCTCTTTTGTCCTTCTAGAAGGTGTAATTGTACTGAGTTCTGAAGCAGAAAAGATCTGTGGCACTATACTGTTCAGAGAGGACTATTTGGTTTATATAGCATAGAGTTTATAGGAAATAAGGATGTACAAGCATCTCTAACAGGTGCTGTTTATAAAGTTTGTTGAGTCATGTAGTTAAGCATGCAAAATCCTTCAGCAGTTTTAAAGACAAAATATACAGATTATACTATATGTAATTTTTCTGGCTTTCCTGCTAAAGGTTGCACCAAGAAATTAGTTAAAAATTTTATAAATTGGAACTATTTGAAACTTATTTACAGTATATTCTCATATATTTAATCTTACAGGCTCATGAGCGACTGGAAGATTCTAAACTCGAGGCTGTCAGTGACAACAACCTGGAGCTGGTGAATGAAATTCTTGAAGACATCAGTCCCTTAATAAATAAAGATGAAAATATTGCAGAATTGGTTGGAATACTCAAGGAGCCTCATTTTCAGGTGCCACCTTTTTATTGTATATTGCCAACTTACTGTATCAGTGTCCACGTATGGATCTAGGAATAATAATGGAAAAAACCCTGAACTGTAGCAAACTTTAATATGTAGGATTTTACTCTGAATGAAAGGTAGAGCAGAAGACATGTGGGGTTAAGAATGAGCACAATTTTATTCCTTGATATCACCTCAAGCATATCTTCACTTGTATTAAAAACCACTTCAGTTTCTGTTATAAGTCTTGGACAAACATTTACTTCCTAGATGACTGGAATTTCCATAGCAATTCTCTGAAGGCATCATCCTTGCATTTCCAGGTGATCTCAGTTCCTGTTAACTGACCATTCTGCACTTCAGTTCAGCTGTTGGCATTCATACTCGTGTAAGATGTACAGTTTGCAGAGTGAAGGAATGTGATTCTTCTGTGATGCGATCTGTACTGCAGCTTAAGTTGAGATCTGCATCACTCTCACTGCTGCTGTACTTAAATTAAGTTTTGACATATGCTTGTCAAAAGCAGGTGGTTTTCTATAGCTCTTTCCAGCTTCTGTACTGACCCTTGAAGATTAGGGTTTGTAAATCCTTGGTAGATTATGGACTTGCTAGGCAGGCTTCAGCTCACTGTAGTACTTAGCTACAGATATCCTGTAGAGTAACATAAGCAAACCTTTTGCCACAGTATAAGTGTACTTTTGGCAGACAGGTGGAGTCATAGATGGTTTTTGGGTATATGAGTTTAAACACACATTTTTTTCCTAAGTTTCCATTATACATTATAGAGACATAGCAGTGAGGTGCATTACTATTAATGTAGATAAACACTGGAAATGCTGTCAAGCTGTGGCCTGTTGGAAGATGAAACACTTTAAGAGCTCAGCTTTTGAGGTAGTAGTTGTTCTGAGTGCTAACAGTTTCTCTGCTTCTTCTGAAGAGCAGTATGTTGGCCTCCCTTGGTCTCTTATTTGTCCAGAAGGGCATCATAACTAACGGACCAAAGGCTATCATTTGGAGACTTACTGGTGAATAAACCTTCAAATCAGTCTTTGATCCCTTAGCAGAAGTCTGTACTGGAAAAGGAGAGGATGACTTTGGAAGAATTGGTAGTTGCGATGCAAGAAGATTGGAATTGGGGGCCAAACGGTGCAGTGACAGACCTGACAAAGATCCATTGTGTTAGATTGAGAAATTAAAGCTGACAAGTCAAAGAGGATGAATGAAAGGATGAAAAGGACTTAGTACTTGCTGGAGTAGACTGACTCTGAAAGGCACTGTAGTGATGATCTCTGAAGAGAGTTGGCAAAGACCAGAGACCAACTGGGCAAAGAATCTTTGTGGTGGAGACTGGAAATGGCCTGTAGGAGACTGAGATCAAATAAGAATTTTAATTGCAGTGAATAACCAGTACTGAGCCAAACCCAGCTTTCATTCCTGTTCAGTGGTCGTATTTACAGAAAGGCACAACATAGTGCTGGTGTCAGTTACTCCATTAGTTCAGGCTTAAGCAACTTAGACATTTCATTTAAAAGTTCCTAAGTAGCTAGTGAAGAAAAATGCCAATGTTTACGCTACTGCTTGTACATTTTTGTTCTCTGATTTATAAAGAGCAGACTTGAAATTGCATGTATGCTACATTATCCCTGCAGTCTGTTAGTGCTTCCTAATCATACGTGTCCTAGTTTTGACTGGGATAGAGTTAATTTTCTTCCTAGTAGGTGGCATAGTGCTGTGTTTTGGATTTAGTATGAGAATAATGTTGTTAACACACTGATGGTTTAGTTGTTGCTAAGTAGTGCTTACAGCAGTCGATGTTTTCAGCTTCCCTTGCTCTGCCAGGTACACAAGAAGCTGGGAGGGGGCACAGCCAGGACAGCTGACCTCACTGGCCAAAGGGTTTCCATCCATACCGTATGATGTCATGCTCAGTATATAAACTGGGGGGAGTTGGCTGGGGGGCAGCGATTGCTGCTTGGGGATGGGCTCAGCGTCAGTCGGCAGGTGGTGAGCAATTGCATCATACATCACTTGCTTTGTATATTAATATTATTATTACTGCTGCAACTACTACTATTTTACTTTATGTCAATTAAACCATCCTTACATCAACCCACGAATTTTCCTACTTTTACTGTTCCGATTCTCTTCTCCATTCTACTTGGGATGGGGAGTGAGCGAGCGGTGGTGTGGTGTTTAGTTGCCGCCTGGAGTTAAACCACGACAGTATGTTAAAGGTCCATTTAACAAATATCTCTTCTGCTTTCCTTCCCTGTCCCCAGCAGTAGGCATGTAGTGCAGACTATAAGGCTAGGACAAGCCAACAGTGATACTTTCCAAAATGTTTTGTGAGGATTTAGTGATTTGTTGCTTAGACTTCTGAGTGAGAAAGTACTGTCATCCACCTGGGGTGGTGTTCTCTTCCATGAAACTATTCAGCTTGTTCTGGCATTCACAACATCCCCCAGCAGAGTGGAGAGACTGCTGTTTTGTTTTTGAGACCGTCTCCTGTCAATTTGACTTAATATTCCCTTGCTCTTGTGTAGGAAGAGATTGAACAGTTTTTCTTAATCAGCTTTTCCATGTTACTCATGATTTGAGAGACCTCATTGTATATGCATGTCTGTCTGTCTCAAATACATAAAAAGAAGGGAAACGAAGCTGTATACATCTTCCCAGAGTCATTGACAGCAGCATGGATTTATGAAGTGGTGTAATCGTTACCATTGCATCTCCTACTCATTGCTTAAAAATTCCTAGCATTTGGTTTGCCTTTATAACAGCTGGTGAATAGAATAGAATAGAATAGAATAGCAAGTTGGAAGGGACTATAATCACAGAATCACTGAGTGGCAAGGGTTGGAAGGGACCTCGGGAGATCATATAATCCAACCCTCCTGCTAAACCAGGTTCACCTAGAGCAGGTTGCACAGGACATCATCCAGGAAGGTTTTGAATATCTCCAGAGAGGGAGACTCCACAGCCCCCCTGGGCAGCCTGTTCCAGTGCTCTGTCACCCTCAAAGTAAAGAAGTACTTCTGCATATTCAACTAGTTCAACTGCCTGATCACTTCAGGTCTGATCAAAAGTTAAAACATGTTAATAAGGGCATTGTCCAAATGCCTCTTTAACACTGACAGGCATGGGGCATCGACCACTTCTCTAGGAAGCCCTTTCCAGTGTTTGACCACTCTCTCAGTAAAGAAGAGGTACCTCTAGGCTTGGTAAACATGGAAGTGGGTGGTTGGTTTGGTTTGGTTTTGTACTGTTTACACCTCTGAGATACCACTTCTGAGTCTGTCAATTAATATGTTAAATTAGGATTGTATTTTCCCTTGCAGGCTGTTGAATTTCATTTGCCTTGTTGCTCATAAGGTGCTCCTGCAAGTTACAATCAGTTGTTTTACTCCTTGAATAGTTTAGCAGCAGCAGCAAACCCTGCCATTTCATGTCTCACCCGCATTTCCTAGGTCACTTATCTGACATGTCAGTGTATTAGCAGGTGTTGAACTGAGCCCAGATGCCTGTGGGAAATCCCCTGGTGACATGAATTGTGAAAATTAATATTGTATTCCTGGCCCCAGTTTTTCTGTCTTTTAACCAGTATTTTCATCCACTTGAGTGCCTTCCTGCTTGTCCTGTAGTTGCTTTGTTTCTTTAAAAGACATTGATAAAGGAGCCTATCTATCAAAGGCCTTTTGGAAATTGATCTATGTTATCAATGGTAACTGCCTTGCTGCCACGCTTGGTGACTCATTCAAGGAACTTAACCAGATTTGAGAAGCATGACTTCCCTTTATTAAAGCATGTTGATGCTTTCCCTTGAGCTATTTTGTCCAATCATTCTGTTTTTTTATGGAAACTTCTCCTGATTTGTTTAGTATCAACATCAGACTTACTGGTTCACAGTTTGTTGATTCTTCCTTGGAACCCAATTTAAAAATGCATGCTATGAACAAGATTGCATGCTGCTTCTTTCACTATACTGTTGAGTGAGTTATGGGTATGCAAGAGAAATAAGCTATTTCTAGAGCTCCCTGCTTCATTTGCTGCAAAACCTGGATGGTACAGAAAGAATTAGGTACGAAAGGAAGAGAAGAAACTATTTGATAGTTAAGATAGTTAAATGCTGCCCTGGAGAACTAACCTATCCTTCACTCTGCCATAATTAGGGTTCATTTTAAAAAAAAAAAAAGTCTGAAGCAGCTTTAACTTGTATTTTTCTTTTTATTTTCTAAGTGCCTGTTGTGAGGCCTTCAGTCTCATTTGCAGAAACAATGAACAGTTTTGGCTGCTGTGTACAGGCAAAGAGCAGCTAGCTACTTACTTTTTAAAAGTGGATCTGATGTGATTCAGTTTGGAAGCCTAAAATTAGGGTGTACTTTTCAGCCCTTAATTTTGTGCTTCCGTTTCCCAAAGACAACTGAGGCCAAAGTAGTATTATTTTGAGCAAGTGTTTTTATTTAACGGATATTGTAGTTGTGACCACTCTAGAAGAGCTTCTAAGAAAATTTGAAGACCAAACTGTGGATACAATATTCTTTCTAAGGCTTGGGGAGACTATATATCTCTTTCTCTGAACAGGAAACAGAAAATTAACTCGGGAAATAAGTGCTATCCTTTCTGCCTCATTTGGTGCAAGAAGGCATATTCCAAATTCTGTAAGAAGGGACCTGTAAGGAAGAAAGGAAAAATACAATGTCATTTGTAATTACAGAAAATGTAATTTGCATCCTTTCTCTAGTTCAGTAAATGTGTAAACAAGCTGCCTTGACTTGACTCTTTTAAAGTTTCATGGATGCTATTGTATAACTGGTTTAGAGGCTGATTCTGTATTTTACACAGGAACGGTGCCACTTTATCACAGCGTCATCTTACAGTTGTAACCTGCCTTGGCCTGCAAGTATCAAATGTGGTATACAAATTATCAGTGCAATAGCTTATTTGAATGTACCATTTAGTGTGGAAAATACCAAATTACAGAACTTCACTTCTTTTACACGTTTTTACAGAAGATACCTTGGGAAGGGACTAGCTTATGGAGTACAGGAGCATGTATGGTCACACTATTATGTTTGACTGTCCCCTTCCTTTTCTCTCTTCTCCTTTCATTCCTTTCTTTTTCTTCCCTTTCACTTTTTACCCCTTTTAGTTCTAACTAAACTTTTCAGGGTTCAAAGTGTGGAAGATACTAAGTTCTTATGAATTTCACAGTAGGTACTGAAGAGCCAGCTGGCACAGGCAGTGCATAGAAAAGGCTATAGCAAGTCTTGCCAGACAGTAGCTGGAGACCAGACGAGAGGAGTGGTAAAAGAAGTTGCCTTGAGGGAAGAGGGAGGAGTTGAAAGTATTGCACTGTTGGAGTGGTTAAACATGCAGACGAATCACTTTTGCTGCTCACGGAAGAACTTGTTCAGTTTTTTTCACCTTTCTAAGAATTATGCAAGCCATTCATCATAAACAGTAGATTCTGCTGGCAATAAAATACTTAACCTGAAAAGCAGCCAGTATTCTCTTCTAATAGTTAGCTCTATAATGGCTAATCATACCTTTAAAATGTTTAATTTAGAAAAGTGATCCTAAATTGCCTCCTAGACAGATCTAATTTATAGGGTTATTTTTCCTACATATTCATGCCTCCTTACCAGCCCCCCTGATTTCTCTAAGGTCTTAAATTATTTCCTCACTTTTCCAGAACAGCTTTTAAAAATCTCTGCTTTTCACATGTACATTAGGGGCCTGTAGTCCATTTATTAAGTTCTAACTTTTAAACAGTGTTATCAGAGAAGACTAGCACATATTTAGTGCATAAAAGAGGAATGAAAATATTTTAAGTACTTCTGAGGCCTGAAATGTTAGGAAAGGAGTCCTAAATTCAAGATCATAGAGTTGTTCTGCTCTTGTGTATACCCTCCAGCCCCCAATCTGTAATTTAATTGTTCTGTTGGATCACAGTTGGGAAAATAGTTATCACATAAGGCAGGCAATGCTTCATAACTTTTATTAGAATGTGATGAGAATGTTTTTAGGAAAAACACATTTTGAATTTGAACTTGGCTTCAGCACTGTAGAGAGCCTTGGATGTTTAATGTTTCTTTGTTTACTGAATTTTGAATTGCTTTTTAAAATTTTTTTTTTAACCTGTCAAATAAGTACAGCCACAGAAAACTACTGTAAAGAAGTCTGTGTGTTCTAAGTCTATGGATTACTTTATGACAGTATCTTGCACAAAGGGGCCATACTGTCTGCCACAGCACTGTACGTCCATTGTGCAGTATCTCCTGTGATACGTAGAGTTCTTCTAAATGCCTTATTCCAGAAACATCACCATTTTTTCCATGAGAACCTTTCTACGGTTATCCAGTCTTGGATAGTCAGCTGATCCTGTTTAGCTATGCGGAATGGAAGAAACTTTGAACCGTTTTATGGTTGTTGATTATTCCATCCATGTTGATTTTCAGACTTTGTCAGTGGTTTTATAAGTGTTCTACCACCAGTATGGGAAAGGTCAGATTCCAGGGGAGCTCTGGAGATGCAGGAGCACAGGATATCACTTTTTCTGATACCATAACAAAGAGACAAGTGAAGTTCATGCAACTGTATTTCTCAGATCACTCAACCATATTACTGAAATAAGAAAGTTACTGTGAGTCATATAAAATGTTGGAGAGTAGTCTGACAGTGGATAAAGACGCATGGCCCCTGTTGCCAAGTGACTTTGTTTTAGTGTTCCTCAGGACTGTATGCCATCACCCAGCTGGCTGGAAACAGTCTCTTAAAACTGGTATAGATTCTTGAGTTTTAAAACTGAGAGTTAGGTATGGGAAGGTAATAAATTAACTGTTGCTTGTTTTAAGGAAACCAGTAATCTACTTTTCTTAAAGAAACCATTTTGTAATTGTGGGCAGCAATGCACAGCCCTTGATAGTCCTTCTGTGACTCAGCCATCATGTAAATAGCAGGAAAAAGATTTTGTGATTGGGAGATAGTTAAGTAGTAGTGGAAAGAATTCATGCTTATCCATGAAACTGAGTGAATTAACAGGATCAGAATGTGGATGATGGGATCAGATTTCAGAACTGAAGATTCTTACAGAGTATATTAATTTGAAAAGGATGGCAGACTGTTTGCTTAGTAGTCTTTTTTGACTGTGGATCAGATCATAATCCATAAATTATATGACCGTTAAGGGCAGGGGCCTGTACAAGCATGGTTATGCTCCATGAGAAATCTAGTGGTTCATGGCAATAAAGTCTGGGCACAATTAGTTCTAGCATGTGACCAAAAGAGAAAACTGGAGTTTTTCTACTGGTGCATCTCCCTGGTTTTGTCAGTGGTAATGTGTTAAAATGTATAGTTGGTAATAGTTGGATTCATTTTGGAAATGTAGAAAGATGCGAAAATGTTGCTTGCAAACATTGGGAAACAGATCTGTTCTCCTGGTTTCTGGATTGGATGTGCCTTGGATAATTAAGAATTAGAAATTGCTACCATCAGACAGCTGCTTGATTTAAACAAATGATTGGTTTTACTATTTAATTTTATTTGGTTTCTGTCCACACTATCAGAGCAGCCACAATAAGCAGCTGTCTTTACAGTCTAAACGGCAGGGACTGAATCGGTGAATTAGTACCTCCTTCTAACGTAAAGTTGAAATATCAGCAGGGTCATCATGTAATGGGCAGATTAAAATGACTGTTCAGGTTTGTGACACTTTGAAGGTTTGCATGTTGAGCTTAGCACTAAACTAGTATGGTTGCACAACTTTCAGGTTGGAGGTGACCTACAGAATGATGGAGCAGACTGCATAGCAAAATTGTTAAATTTGCTTAAATGTCACCTGCTCACTAGCTCTACTTTCTAATAGTTTGCTGTCTTCCTCTGGCATGTCACTAGTGCATGTCACTGTCAGTGGGAGTCCCTATCATGTCTTGTCCTCAGTGTCTTCTCTTTAGATATTTATTTGACACCAGTCTGTGATCTAACTTAAGACTGTATCTTATGAGGTCACTGTTTGAAACAAAGCTATGTTGTCTGAGGCCTAGTAGGCATCTTCTCCGCTTGCTTCTTTTTGTCTTCCTGTATGTGTCAGTGAGACTCTGTGCCGCAGGATGCTTTATCTTGAACTGCCATGTGTGGTGGTTATAGGGTGTCCCTTTTCCTCTTTAAGACAGAAAGTCTCTGCTGTCTAATTTCACAAGTTTGTTCTTGTTTTACCTGTATGTATTGTCTTAAAAATAATTTCTTTACATCTTAAAGCATCTTTTACAAGAAAATCAAGTCTAAATTGCATTGTCTTTCAAAGATGATTATATTTTTTTGGATCTCTTCCTTTTGGTTTGTACTTACGTATGTGGACTGGTGGAAAAAACATAAGCTATAAGGTTTGAGCTCTTGTCTTCCATAAAGTGAATTCTGTCAACTTGGATTCACAGGATAGAATTCTGCCTTGGCTTTATGCAAGCAGAAAGTACTCATTCTGCAGATTGCTAGAACTCTTTGCATACCTGTAATTAACTTTAATTTACAGTTACTTCCAAATTACTGTGGAGGAAAATTTTATTACATTAGACACAAGTATCTAATGATGAGTTATCTTCACTTCTTTTGCAGTGGGTTGTTCGTTTACTTTAAACATTTGCTCAGATACTGTCTCATTAGGCGAAAGACTATTTTACATTCTCCTTTTTCCATCTTCTTCCCTGCAAGTTCATGTATTCCTCCCAAATTAATTACATTTCTCTTAAAGAGAAATACATACTTCCCTAAGAAGCATTTGTATTTACAAGAGAGCATGTTTGTCACGACAGTGGGCAATGTGAGTGCTTGTATTTCATACAAACATGATAGTGAATTTTTGCTCCATTCCATGTGAAGTAAGAGTTTTAAGATCTGGTCCCAAAAGAGCAATTTCAGTGGTTATTCAGCACTAAATCCTTTTGCAAATGGTTATTTCATGATTTAAATAAGGCTTTTTCTGTTTCCTTACAGTCACTCTTGGAAGCACATGATATTGTAGCTTCAAAATGTTATGATTCCCCTCCTTCTAGCCCAGAAGTCAATAATTCTTCAGTGAATAACCAGATTGTTCCAGTAGATGCTATTCGTATTCTTGGAATTCACAAAAGAGCAGGAGAACCACTGGTAAGTAACTGAAGATGAGTGTGACTTTAAATTAAAGTGCGAGTGAAAGCATTTGCGTGTGCCTAGTTTCTTGCATTACATTTTAATTCTTTCTGTTATTGTGTTGTGTAATTTAATGGGTGATAGGATAAGTATTGCGAGGTCAAAATAAGAATATATTTGTGTGTTCTCCATCCTGTTCTCTTTAAGAAATTATGGGATAGGGAATAGGCAGTCACTAGGCTGAATGACTTGCTAGCATAACTGACTAACACAACATCTGCTTGGTCCTGATACAAAATGACAGGATTGCATGCAATCAAGAACAATACAGTCATTGTTCAATTGTATGAAAACCTTGTCTGAAAGCACTTTTGGGTCACCTGATGCTTATCTATGTATTAGGAACTCTTACACTGTAATAACTATTACTGTCTCTCTTCATTGGGGTAGAAAGAATATCCCATAGCTGTATATTTTTTCTTGAGATAATGGTAAACTGAAATTGAAATTCAAACAATGGTAATCTAGGTGTCACATACCTCTTTCAGGGTGTTACGTTTAGAGTTGAGAACAATGATCTGGTAATAGCACGAATTCTTCATGGCGGAATGATAGATCGACAAGGTCTTCTGCATGTAGGTGACATTATTAAAGAGGTGAATGGCCATGAGGTTGGAAACAATCCAAAAGAATTGCAGGAACTGCTGAAAAATATTAGTGGCAGTGTCACTCTGAAGATTCTTCCCAGCTACAGAGACACTGTTATTCCTCAACAGGTCAGTAGCACATCTCTAACAATTCTGTCAAAAAAAACTTCTGCTTGGTATTTTATCACATAAAAATTATTTAAAGATTTTGGATTAGACTTATTTTGATTATTTTATGTATTTAAAGCTATAGCAGGAAGGCTAAAATGTAGATACCTGTATTCACCTTTAAGTACATTTTGGAAATGGGTTTATTCAGTAGATTAATACCAGGCCTAATAGGCCTGCCTAAAGAATTCTAATTGATATCTAAGATTGATAAGGATTTGTACACTACAGGTAAAGCATATGTCTTTGACATCCAGTGACCTCTGATGACCTAGCCACAGTCACACTAAACTGCAGTGAACTGCATGTCCTTATAACACGATCAGTGTCCAAGCAATCTGTTTGATAGGATTCAGAAATACATTGAATTCAACAGATGAGCGTAAACTCGCTGACTTAAGCGGGAGCTTGGATGGTGGCTGTTCCTTAGCCTTTTATGGTTGCTGTAGGCTGTCGATTTCTCTGCTGCAGAAGTAACTTACTGCTCTAAATCACTGCATCTGAAACATCTTGTAAGACATTTCTTCAGGTAGTGGGTCTTAATGTCCGTGACTATAATAGGCTGTGCTTACATAGAGTAGATGCTGAGGGAATGTGCTGTATTTGAGGCAGGTGCACTGCTTCCTTTGCTCCCCAACTTGGTAGAAGAAAGTCAAAGATGTTTCCAGTCTACTGATGCAACCTCCTGTTTCTTCCCCTGCATTGAATTTGAGTCTTAAGCAGTCACATATCTTGTTTGTTTTAAAACATTGAGTTCATGGCAAAATTAATTCTTACAATTCCATGAGCCTTGACTACAGTGCTCACATTCTGAGAATATTTATATTTTTAAGTAATTTAAAGTCAGAATACTAATTGAGTTGTATATACTGAAATGCAAAAATGAGTGTTTTGTAACACATTGTCCAAATAGAACAATTGGCTTTTTATTTTTATCATGAAGCTCCTTCAGCCAAGGCTTGCATTGCTGATTATTTCTACTCTCTCAGCTGGCATATGTCAGTTTTTTACATAGATTGTATTTTACTTGCCAAATGCAGTTTGCCAAACTTTTCATGTTAAACTTTTTGTGCTGTAGGTAAAGCCATTACTTCAGTTTGACAGAATGTATTTTATAATGTTTAAGCTTTGTAAATTTTTACATGTTTCAGGTTTTTGTGAAGTGTCATTTTGATTATAATCCATATAATGACAACCTCATCCCATGCAAAGAAGCAGGCTTGAAATTTTCTAAAGGAGAAATTCTTCAGATTGTAAACCGGGAAGATCCAAATTGGTGGCAGGTTGGTAAAAAGATTAAAAAAATAAAATAAAAAACTGAAAAGCTTCACTAACTGCCTTAATAATAAACTCCTTAAATTATGATCTACTTCCATTTAACAGTAGATGTAAGAAAAAAATATTTACACTGCAATCCAATTTCAAGCTAAATCAAGATATTAACAGTTGAAATCCTAGAGAAAATTGAATGGTCTAAATTGTGTATGTAGCACTCATTTTGCTATTACTACTCTTTATTTGTCTTTGTTCTTGTACCATAAGCCTAGACTTTCCAAAATAATTTTAAGTGGACAATTTCTAGCAGAAGGTCTTAGGCTGTTCATTGTGGTAAGGCTTCCCTGACAGTGACTGTAGAAGAAGTGGACCCCTTCCCAACTGTTCAGAGTTGAGGAGAGAGAGGGAAATTAACCCTGTGGATTTCAAGAGGGGTGAGAATAGCTATTTGGAGAAGCTGTATCTTTTATTTCCACAGTGGTGGTCAGTGTCTGTGAGCTGTAACACACATGTTCATAATCAAAGTGGTTGGCACTATTTCAAATATTAAAAGTTCGTCCTGCTTTAAGGTTGTATTTCTACATTCAGTCCTTCAGTAGAAATGTAGTCCAGTGCTTGTGCTATTTTTATTTTTTCAGGACACTATACACATAATTAAACATCATCAGTGCCTTTGAAAGTGGGATGAGTGAGCCTTTAAGACACTTTTCTCAAATGAGATGCTCAAAATTGCAAATGGCAGTGGCAATCTAGGAAAGAGTTTACCATTATTAATTTCCCTTTCCACCCCTAAATTGCTCTCCCTTTGCTAGTTAACAATCAATAGTGAGTCAAATGTTACTTGAGAGCAATATATGACTTCTTTAAAAGCAACAAAAATATTTGAATACACACCAACCACTGTTGCTGAATTCTGGTGCTTGTCAGTGACAGTACTAACAGAAAGAAAGAGAGTAAAAAGTGTGAGGGAAGGCAGAAAATTTATTACTGCCAAGGTAATTAAGTTTCAGATGTCAGACACTCCAAAACTCTGGAGTACTTTGACATTTAGCTTACATGCTGTCTTCTGTACTGCTTTTCAAATTCTCCAGCTTGTAACTCGTGGGACTCCAGGAGAAATAAATCTTAAATCCTAAACACTCGGATCAGTGGCAAAAATGAAATGCATTAAACCAGCACAGTGTGTTGCAAGTGTTGCTATGCAGATCATGCCACTGGGGAAAAAAATTTCGTTTTTCCTTGTGCGTTCTAGAAACGCTAGACTGCTACTGAAAACTTGCTACCTGTAAAAAATCAGTCACAGGTAAAAGCATATGAGTTGAAAAGCAAACAGTTCCTGTTAGTAAGAGACAGGCCAACCAGTTATGGAGAAGAAAAGCGTAACAGTTTGTGTGTTTGTATGTGTTAAACTTGCTGAGAACTGAGCCTGCCGTGAAATTATTTTATAGAGAATCATAGCCAAACTTTCATTACCAGGAATACTTAAGTTACTAAGATTTTAAATCTGTGGTTACTTAGTGCAAAAAGCTTGAAGGCATGGTTAGGCATGTGTTAATGGCATTCACTGTTTGTGAAATGAGAGTCAATAAGCTGCACTGGAACCTGTTTGGAGCAGCTCAAGAATACAAAATAAGTGTACTTGTGTACTATAAAGTCTTGAGTTTTGTCACTTGAGAGTTCAATGTCTGGAGCCACAGAATTCCATTTAGGATTTTCATGCAAAAAGTTTATGGCTATAGGAGCTTACTAACTTAAGGGCAACCAGTAATGAAACTTCTCTCTACTTTATTTAAGATTCTTGAATTTTAATACTCAATGGCAAGACACTGTTCCGGTGAGACAGAATTTTAATATCCACGCCTGAGTTCAAATTTCCAAGTCTCAGCAGTAAATGTATCAATACTCATCACTGACAAACTCTGGCAGTGTGAAAGTCAGTCAATACCATGTTGATGAGAAAAATGCTTCTCACAAGTTACCTATGATTTTTGTTTTTCCAGGCTAGTCATGTCAAAGAAGGAGGAAGTGCAGGGCTTATTCCTAGCCAGTTTTTGGAAGAGAAGAGAAAGGCCTTTGTTAGGAGGGACTGGGACAACTCGGGTGAGATTTAATGAATTTCAATTCAATTCAATTTAATGAATTGCTCTGACTCCATTGTTTTGTTTTTTCTGCCTTCATAGATACTAGAAAACTGCTGTGTGAGAATACACAGAATATTGCAAAATGCTAATTATTATATTTTGCCTTTGACTAAAGGACAAAGGCTAAAGTCTATCTTTAGTCTTCATAGATACATGAATCAGTTTTGCCACCTGCTGAGGAAAAGCTAAATGAGGTGGGAAAGGCATAAGAATTAGCTCTTTTTCCTTTTAATTATGTTTTTACAGTATGCAGTGAAAGTTAATAAATTAATCATTTTGATGGATTTTTCTGCTGCTTTATACAAAGCTTTCTAAGAAAATTAATTTTTTCTCTGTTCAGTTCTTACTATGCCATTTGATGTGTATGAAAATAGATGTGATCTCCTGCCCTAGAATAGATGAAATTCTGAAATAGTCCTTGTAAATTTAATTAATCTAAACTCGCATATATTCATGTAAATAAGCTTTGGAAAAACACATTTAACAAAAATGATGAGTTTGTCTCAATTTTTATTTCTAGGGCCTTTCTGCGGAACAATAAGCAGCAAAAAAAAGAAAAAGATGATGTATCTCACTACAAGAAATGCAGGTATCTCTTAATACTGCATATGAATCAACGTTCTCTAGGTTTTTAAACTTGCAGAGTCTAGTGTATCCAAAGCTGAAAGATCTGCAGTAAAATACTTGATTATAAATTTGATAGATCAGATAGTTTTTGTGGTTTAAAAGCAATAGTGACCAGTGAAGATACAGTAGTGCCGAGTACGTGTTGTGGTAGGTGGAAGTCAGAGAAGAACTTTGTGTTAAAAGAGAAAAGAAGTGAAAGTTTTGTTGCCAGCAGGTTGAGGGATGTGATCCTTCGCCTCTGCTCAGCACTGGTGAGGCCACCCCTGGAGCGTATTAGGCTCCTCTCCAGCGCAAGAGAGATACGGACATACAAAGATCACGAAGGGACTGAAGCACCTCTCCCGTGAGGAAAGGCTGAGAGAGCTGGGACTGTTCAGCCTGGAGAAGAGAAGGCTCAGGGGGGATCTCATCAATGTCTATAAATACCTAAAGGGAAGTTGCAACAAGGACAGAGCCAGGCTCTTTTCAGAGGAGCCCAGTGACAGGACCAGAGGGAATGGGCACAAACTGAAACACAGGAGGCTCTGTCTGAACATAAGGAAACACTTTTTTTATTCTGAGGCTGGCTGAGCACTGACACAGTTTGCCCAGACAGGTTCGAGTCCCCCTTCTTGAAGATAATCAACAGTCATGGGGACGTGGTCCTGAGCAACCATCTCCAGGTGGCCCTGCTTGAGCAGGGGGTTGGACCAGGTGCCCTCCAGAGGTACCTTCTGACCTCAACCGTTCTGTGATTCTGTGAAAACTCTCTAATTGTTAATCACAGTTTTACCGTTCTGATCAATCTCAAATTTTTCTCCTTTGAAGGGAAGGTAATAATCTGACCTTATGCTGTCCATGAAGGGGTAACTATTTTATTCCCATTTAAAGCAAGAAAGCTTGTATCACACTTAATGTCCTTCGAGTACTATATATATTCATATGTGGTCTGTTGATATATAGCAGGACTGCTTAATTTTTTTTCTTAGAGTACCTACTGCGTATTAACTACTTTTTGTGCACTTCTCAATGTAGAATTTGATCGTCATGAAATCCAGATCTATGAGGAAGTAGCCAAAATGCCTCCTTTTCAGAGGAAAACTCTGGTCTTAATTGGGGCCCAAGGAGTGGGGCGAAGAAGTTTGAAGAACAGGTTTATAGTACTGAATCCTACTAGGTTTGGAACTACAGTGCCATGTAAGTTGTTAGCATTCCTGTTGTAATATCATACTTTGAGTCTCGTATTATCTGGAAAATACCTGATCTTTATCCCAGTGATTCAGAGTGGGAGTAATTTTGTCAGAGTATAAAAACTCTATAGAGAGGGAAAACAAAAGGTTCTTCATCTTCTCAGACAACTGGACTAATTAATATATGATGACAGTGAAAATATCTGTAACTAGCAGTTAAATGTTACTGATGCTGCAGAAGAACAATTTTTGTACGTGCAGTATATCCATCTGTTAGGTTTCTTCAGTGTCGGTCACCATCAGTTACTGAGGGGATTCTAGAAGTTCCTAGCAGTCTTTTGTAATGAACAGCCAGTGGTGTTTCTCAGGTCTGCTGTTTATTTTTCCATCTGTAGAAGGACCATGGGCATTATAAATTGTTACTTTATTATAAGAAATGC